AGTGTCAAGTTACAAAGAAAACTCATTTTGCGGGAGCACATTTTACCTACCACCTCTCAGCATCAGATAAACTTCTCTGCTGGGGGTGGGGGTGTGGTTTCACAGGCAAGGCAAATTACCCCAAATACTTATTATCGCCACAAGAGGTCTCCAAACAATTATTAAATGAACAAAAACACAGTAATTTTGGTGAAAGTTATAACATTTAAAGTAACACTTTTAACCCTGTTACATCAGCAGTGACTATTACTATGTGGGTGAATCTCATGAAACCTGTTTAGAACGTGTCAAAACTGTTTGAGCCAAAATATTTACTTGAAAGCTCCTGAGATTTTAAGTTAATATTTAAATCATTTAACAACACAATTGCATGTTCATGATTCTCTGATGACAATTATTGGTCACATGACATGCAGCTAAACAAATAAATTATATACAGTTTTTTGTTTAATTTTAATTAAAGATTATTTCAATGATTTTTTTCAGATAAAATATCAGTTTTTTTTTAGCTATTTTATTTCATCTAACATATCTTTGTTTAGCATTTATTTATTTATTTTTATTTCTATTTATTCCAAATGAAATAGTTCATATAATTGTAGTAATTATTTTGGATTGTTTTTAAAGTTATGCATTTTCATTTATTTCAAATGCAATATATAATCTTTTTAGTAAGTGTTTTATTTTAATTGTATTTTATTATAATTTAATTGAATTATTGAATTTAATTGAACTCATACCAGTTTGTGAGATCCTGATCTAATGCAAAGAAATAACATAAATTCTAAAGCGTTGATGCATTATCTGTTGTTTTGAATTTAATTGATGCTTATTTAAATATAATTTCTTGCGATGAGATCTGGTTCTGGTGAGATTCGTCCTGTGGTTTGTCACACAGAAGCTTCATTGATGGTCTTTGACTGTGTTTCAGCCGCAGCTCTGGGGAACCTGGTGTAAATTACCCCAAATACTTATTATCGCCACAAGAGGTCTCCAAACAATTATTAAATGAACAAAAACACAGTAATTTTGGTGAAAGTTATAACATTTAAAGTAACACTTTTAACCCTGTTACATCAGCAGTGACTATTACTATGTGGGTGAATCTCATGAAACCTGTTTAGAACGTGTCAAAACTGTTTGAGCTAAAATATTTACTTGAAAGCTCCTGAGATTTTCATTTAACAACACAATTGCATATTCATGATTCTCCGATGACAATTATTGGTCACATGACATGCAGCTAAACAAATAAATTATATAGTTTTTTGTTTAATTTTAATTTTATTTTAAAATTATTTAAATGATTTTTTTCAGATACAATATCAGTTTGTTTTTTATTTGAGCTATTTTATAGCTATTGAATTGAACTCATACCAGTTTGTGAGATCCTGATCTAATGCAAAGAAATAACATAAATTCTAAAGCGTTGATGCGTTATCTGCTGTATTGAATTTAATTGATGCTTTATTTAAATGTAATTTCTTGCGATGAGATCTGGTTCTGGTGAGATTCGTCCTGTGGTTTGTCACACAGAAGCTTCATTGATGGTTTTTGACTGTGTTTCAGCCGCAGCTCTGGGGAACCTGGTGTCTGATCTGGCTGGACTCGGGTAAGCAGCTTCACTAACAGTGTGTGTGGATGAACTAGATGTGTGTATTAGTAATGCTGTGTGTAGTTTAGCAGGTTACGTGGAGGCTCTGGCTGCGCGCTTAGGGATGCAGATTCCTGATCTCGCACCGAAACAAGTGGATATGTGGCAGACCAGAGTCACTTCACACATGGTGAGACACTCCTGTGTGCTTGTGTTGTTTGTGAGTTTGTGTGTGTGTGAGTCAGCATTTGCTTGTGTGGATGTGAGTGTGAGTTTGCATGCAAGTCGTGTGTGTGCATGTATGAGTGTGCGCATGAGTTTGCTTTTGTGAGTGTGTGCGTGAAAGTGTACAAGTTTGCGTCTGAGTGTATGCATGTGAGTGTGTGCTGAGGTTGTGTGAGTCAGTGAGTGTGTGTGTGTCAGCATTGAGTTTGCTTGTACAAGTGTGTGATGAGCTTGCTCGTGAGTTTGCACGTGTGTGTGCTTGCATGTGTGTGACTGCGTGTGAGCCAGCATTTGCTTGTGAGTTTGCATGTACGCATATGCATGCGAGTGTGTGAGTGCAAGTGTGTGCATGAGTTTGCTTGTGAATTTGTGTGTGTATGCGAGTGTGCATACATGCATGTGCTTGAGAGTGTGCATGCGAGTTTGCAGTGTGTGCGTGTGTGCTTGAAAGTGTGTGTGCAAGTATGTAAGTGTGAGTTTGCGTGTGTGCACCTGTATGTGCGAGGCAAGTGTGCATGAGTTTGCTTGTGTGTACGTGCAAGTGTGTGTGTGTGTCTGTGTGAGTGTGTGTTTCCAGGTTGTTCATAGTCTTCAGCAGCTTCTTAATCTCCTCTTTGTGTGAGAGAGTGTGTGTGTGTGCATGTGTGAGTGTGAGTGTTTCCGGTTTGTTCATAGTCTTCAGCAGCTTCTTAATCTCCACTCTTTGTGTGTGTGTGTATGTGTGTGTGTGAGTGTGTGTGCGAGTGTGTGTGCATGTGTGTGTGTGTGTGAG